GGATCCGGGGGTGCGCGGCGGGGTACCGGGGTGCACGGGAATGCGGAGGGCGGGGGGCGAGGGGACGGGGGGGACGACATGGCATATCGGGGTGCGCGGTGATGTGGCGTGCATGGGGCTGGGGTGCGCGGTGTATCGGGGTGCACAGAGACGAGGGTGAGAGGTATATGGGGATGCACAGGGATGTACAAGGATCCGGGGGTGCGTGGGGGTCGGGATGCGCGGTGTATCGGGGTGCATGGGGATGCAGGGGGAGGGAGACGTGGGAACGGGGTGGGGGACGTGGTATATGGGGGTGCACAGGGACCAGGGTGCATGGTGTATCGGGGAGATCACGGATGGGGATGCACAGGGATGTGGGGTGCGTGGGGATCGGGGTGTGTGGTGTATCGGGGTGCACAGGGACGGGGGTGAGCGGTACATGGGGGTGCACAGGGCCGGGGATGAACAGGGATCCGGGGGTGCGTGGGGCTCAGGGTGTGCGGGGCTGGGGGTGTGGGAATGGTGGCACGTGGTATATTGGGGTGTGCGGGGACCAGGGTGTGCGGTATATGAGGGTGCACAGGGACCAGGGCACACGGTGTACCGGGGTGCACAGGGGATGAGGATGCACAGGGATTTGGGGTGCACAGGAACCAGGGTGCGCGGTATATTGGGGTGCACGGGGACCACGGCACACAGTGTACCGGGGTGCACAGGGACAGGGATGCACAGGAACCAGAGTGTGCAGTGTATCGGGGTGCACAGGGACCAGGGTGTGCGGGTATTGGGGTGCATGGGGACCAGGGTGCATGGGGTATTGGGGTACACAGGGACAGGGATGCACAGGAACCAGGGTGCGCGGTGTATTGGGGTGCACAGGGCTGGGGCATGCAGGAATCAGGGTGCACAGTGTATTGGGGTGCACGGGGATGCACGGGGCTGGGGCATGCAGGAACCAGGGTGTGCGGTGTATTGGGGTGCACAAGGATGGGGATGCACAGAAAACAGGGAGCACAGTGTAGCAGTGTGAACAGGGCTCAGGGTGCACAGGGACTGCAGCGCACAGAAATTGGGGTGCACAGTGCATCAAGGTGCATGAGGATCGGGATACAGAGGGACCGAGGCGCAGGGTGTGCGGTGTATTGGGGTGCACAAGGATGGGGATGCACAGAAAACAGGGAGCACAGTGTAGCAGTGTGAACAGGGCTCAGGGTGCACAGGGACTGCAGCGCACAGAAATTGGGGTGCACGGTGCATCAAGATCGGGATACAGAGGGACCGAGGAGCATGGGGATCTGGGGTTCATGGGGTACCAGGGCACGCAGGGCTCTGCGCTGGGAGTGGGGTGCAGAGGGACCATGGTGCACGGTGTGTCAGGGGCAGAGGGACCAGGGGGCACAGCAGTTGGGGTGCAGGAGAATCCAGGGTGCATGGTTTATTCGGCTGCACAATGCACCGTGGTGCACGGGAACTGGGGTGCACAGGGACCGGGGTGTCTGGTGGACTGGGGTATGCAGGGACTGGGGTGCACGATGTGTTGGGGTACACAGGGAGCAGGGTGTGTGGTTTATTGGGGTTCACAGGGAGCGGGATGGATGGGGAACCAGGGCGCATGGTATTATCGGGGTGCACAGGGCTGGGGCATGCAGGAACCAGGGTGCGCGGTGTATCGAGGCACGCAGCGACCAGGACACACGGTGACTCAGTGTGAGCAGGGATTGGGGTGCACAGTGGATTGGGGGTCACAGGGACTGTGCGCAGGATCCTGGGGGCATGCGGGGACCAGGAACTCCCAGGGCTGCAGGAGCCCGGTGCCCCCAAGGGTGCCCCACGGGACAGGCTCTTCTCAAGAAACACCAATTTTTTTTGGTCAAAGGAGAAAATTTCTGCACTTAAAGAGCCTTTAGCACCTGAAAGTAACCGAGCTCACGGGGCAAAAGGAAACAGGATAGCCCCGCTCTGCCCTCAGGGTGCGAGATTCAGGGTAAAGCCCAGCTAAATCCGGTTGAATGTTCCCTCCTTGGCACATTGATGAATTTAATGATGCTGAATCACATGGAAAACCCAACCAAGCATTTGACAAAACAAACTCATTTAATGCGGGAACCAAATGAGCCATTTTGTTATCAAGTCCCTCGGAAAATCCGTGCGCCTCCCAGAGTCGCCAGGAACAGTTGGTTCGCACCAAAACCCAGCAGATTCCCTCCCGCAGAGATAAAAAGTGAGTGCACCTCTCCCCGGCACAGCACAAATTCCTCTCTTTCCTCCCGCCTGAGGCCAGCAGTAAAAAATAACAGTACAAAAATGTAGTACCATAAGAAAACACGTGGTGTTCTCACCCCCAGTAACAAGCCAGTGTAACTGTCACGTCTTGTATGTATAAGGAGGGGGTTTTTTGGCAGTTTACAACCAGAGGGGAACAAGGTGACATCCTTGTCTTCAGCTCAAAAAGATCTTCATCTCAGGGCTTATGAATTCTTACCCCCCTTTTTAAAGAAATACCTAGTAAAACTAACCACATGCACTTCTAAAAAGTTCATTTGTCAGAATTTACAACAGATTCTTCATGCCCTCCTCCCCTTATATAAAAAGTTTTTTTGGCAAATATTGAACAATCTCTTCTTTGAAACAAATCAAAGTGGTTGTTTTTTTTTTTTTCCCCAAAAGCGAGGACTTAAAAAAGTCCACGAGTTTATAGAGCCTGGTCTCCCACCAAGGTGCTGAAGCCACATGCCAGTCCGTAAGGCTCCCAAAAAAAGAGTTTACCAGCCAAAAAAAAAAAAAAAAAAAAAAAGGCTGCTGGGAGCTGGAAAAATAAATTGAAAAGCAAAGGCAGGGTAATGCTGTGGCTGTACTGAAGGCACTCAGTACTTCAGAGCTCACAAGAGTGCCCAAGCTGGATGGCACGCTTATTTTGTTCAAAAAAATTTTAAAAATAGTCTTATTTACTGAAACCAGCAAGTCAAGCATGGTTTTCCCTTTCCTTCCCACCTGCAGTGCAGACGCCCAGCACATCTCGTGGGGTCAGCGAACCCCATGACACCAACAACCAGGGATTAAAAAAAAAAAAGAAAATAAAAGAAAAAAGAAAGAGAAGTTTTTCTTATCGTTCATAATAAAATGAACCAAAACGAATCTAAACTTGATGACTTGGCTTTTCTTGTGCCTATCTGGAATTTCTTGGATCTGGAAGTTGGCCGAATTGCTGTGTCTTTCCAGGTGACAGCTTGCTCGCGGCTGGGCACAACCCCGCTCAGGTGAGGAGCCAGAAAGAAGAACCCGCCTGGCATTCGTAGGTAGTAGCGTTTTGACAGTGAAATGTTTTAAATAAGATCTTCAAACCCGCAGAGGGATTACAAAAACTTCCCCTCGGCCCACAAAGCAGAGCTTATATCATCCCCTTTCTTAGTAAGTCCGTGTTTAAGTCAACAACAGAACGATGCCGCTTGGTTTGTCTTGCCAGAGGAGCATTGTTCCTCTGAACCGGCATCCAGCTGGAGATGTTAGTCTCCAAAAATCCACAGAACGTTGACTCCTGATAAACCAAGATTTACACGCCTGCAAAAAACAAAAGTTATCATAATAAATCACAAGTAAATTAAAGCCCCTGTTTAAAACATTGAATGAAAAACTATCAATTCCGGCGTTTTAACGGGCAGGCAGGTGGTGTGCTTTGCCATGAATCGAGCACAGCTCTTCCAGAAGGGAGGGGAACCTGCACGTTGCTTTTATTGCTCACACACATAATTTTATCCAATTTTACAAAAAAGCTGCTGTTTTTTCAAACGACAAGATGATTTTAACACCATTAATCATAGAATGGTTTGGGTTGGAAGGGACCTTAAAGATCGTCCAGTTCCAACACCTCCCACCAGCCCAGGTTGCTCCAAGCCCCGTCCAACCTGGCCTTGAGCACCTCCAGGGATGGGGCAGCCACAGCTTCTCCAGCCCTTGTGGCATCTTGGTGGCCTCCTCTGGCCCCGCTCCACCAGGTCCACGTCTCTCCTGCGCTGAGGCCCCCGAGCTGGAGGCAGCACTGCAGGGGGGTCTCCCCAGAGCGCAGCAGAGGGGCACAATCCCCCCTCGCCCTGCTGGCCACGCTGCTGAGGATGCAGCGGGGGATGACGGGGGCTTTCTGGGCTGCCAGTGCACGTTGCCGGCTCCTGTTGAGCTTCTCATCACCCAACACTCCCAAGTCCTCCCCAGGGCTGCTCTCCATCCATTCTCCGCCCAGCCTGTGCTTGGGATCGCCCCAATCCACATGCAGGACCTTAATATCACCCCACTGTAGCAATTTCAGTTTGAGGTCCCTTCAGACAGGTACTTACCCCAGCATCCCGGATTCTTTTGTCTTTATGATGTACAGAAACATAAGCAAGGTGTGGAACATGTTGTTTCTGCCCTGAATCCACAGGAAGAGAAAAGAATTTAGAAACCAAGTCACTAATAAGAAATCACAGCAATATTTCAGGTAGAATAAGTGACGATAAATGCATGAAATGCTATTCCGGGGAGGGTTGTCAGGCTTTTTGCCCTAATTCTTTACTTTTTTCAATTAGGTAAATAGCAAAAAAAGACCAGACGTGGCTTTTGGCTGGATTATCATCTCCAAATACTTTAAATGCTGGAGCTTTATGGAAAGCGGAGATCCAGCAAAACCCAGGGGTCAATACAAAATGACAATTCACAGGAGAATTTCACTGTTTTGAGACTGGAAGTTCGCCCCCAGAATTCTTATGGACGAGCATCGGGCTCGCTGGCCTGAAGGGGTGACAAGGCACATCACGGATTACATGACTTAGTATTTTAAAATAAATTGTCAGAAAATAAACAAAAGGAAGCTACTACCTAGATACTAAAGCTACTGTTTAGTAGCAGACTAAGTACCACGTCACGGTCAAAGACCAAGCTAATGCTTACTTCCTGCGTCGGGCCAGCCTGCGTGTAAATAGTCAATAAATGTGGACAGTTCCTGAAAAAAAAACCCCAAATCAGACCTGCCAATGATTTCCTGGCAGCAGGAGAACATCACCACCAGCATCGTACCTTGGGCAGGTTGTAGACATGGCGCTGGTAGATCAGCTCGTAGTGGGGCGGG